AAAAAAAAAAATGACAGAAAAACGGGAATTTTTACGCAAAACCAGTTTTCGACCAAATCGATTTTTTTATATGGTTGTTATTCAAAATTATCTCAATCCGGGCTGGTATATAGGTACTTATTTTTTTATGTATTTATTGTTACTAGTTATTTTCTTTAGTGACAATATCACTACGAATTTACCTTTATCTAAAATAAATAAAAAATATTATATTATATCGTTATTCGCCATATTATCGATCTTATATGCATACTTACTGATTAAAAATAAGTTCGGTATTTTCAAATATAAACACAAATCTAGATTATGCTTTGTATAAAGAATTTTAGGTTCGGGTTAGGTTAGTAAAAACTTAAGTTGAAAAATAATTGTGATATTTAAATATAATATTTAACAGTGTTTCATTAAAATATGAGAACACTCAACACGTCATATTGTATAAAGTACATGCAGGCTAGATGAACATTAATTGTTTAACACAGCAGTGTAGTACATAATGATCGATCAGGAACTAATGTTCAACCTTTTTAAATTATTATATTATATTCGATATAAAGAAAAAATTGTATTATTAAATATGTTTAGGTACAACTTAAATACTGTTAACTTAAAATAAATATATAAAAATACTGTTTCAAATTGAACATATACATTGCCATAAAAAAAAAAATCATGATGATTATACATATAAAGTTAACACCAAGTCATAATATTTAGAAGTAATTTAAAAAATAAAAACAGTCTTTATAAGACAATCTTTAGCGAAAATGACATAAAAGTGTCGACAATTAATTTTAGCTTAATCGTTAGTATATATTCTACTTATGATAATATAATTACATCCCACGTATTTTATGGCGTCATAAATGATTACCATATTTAATCCACTTCGTTGGTAAATTGGGACAAGTATAGCGTGGTGTTTTGTAGCCAATTGCTAATTGTTTTGAAATTTCTCTCCATCCAATTCACGTTTGCTTCCGCGTTTTCAATCGACTGCAATACGCTTCTCCTAGCCGAACCCAAATGATCGTATTCGTCCTTGTAAAACTGCCACAGCTGAAATTAAATTATTTCGCGATTCATATTATAGACAATATATATTTCAGTAAAGTCTCAGAGTCGTTAAAGACATTTCATTGGCGATGTATTAGATAATATTATATTTTGACAGAAAAAAAAGATTATATTATTATATATTTTTGTCATCCCGTACTTGGATCAGGTCGTTTTTGGTATTGAAATGGTATGTGGCCGATTTGATGATCTCGCTCATTGTAGAAAAACCAGCGGCAAAACTAAAAACGGATGTGTATACATAAGTTTAATAATATAATCAACGTGGTTAAATAACACGTTGACCGACAGTCATCAGTTCATMACTACTACCATAGCGGTCACAATAAAATAGGTATAAGTCACAATATGACGACGATAACTGTCATGGTTGGATAGGCCCATTCGGGAAGCCAGGAATTTCTCGGTGGCCCCCCACTCCGTATATTTTTTCACTCGAGCACTTTTTCTTTTACCGTTTGACGCGATGACCTTTAACGGTTTTTTCGTCTAGGAGCCATTTTCAAAATATCCTGTTAGTCCAAAAATGAAACTTCCGGCCATGATGACAGCTGCTATATCAATCAGTAGTAAAAGGACGCTCTTGACTTTGGAGTGCATCAAGAATATTTTCTTTACAAAAATGGGTGGGTGGAGGTTTGGTTAACCTTTTTTAATTTTTTATTTCATATGCTTTCAAAATATCTCCACGGCTCCATGCGCCATTGGCATCCTTTTAATATATATTATTCAAAAGTCAGGTTAGCAGTTGTGTTTCTTATGGCTTCACTACATTGAAAATTATCTAGTTTCTTATTTTGACTAATCGACTATAACAAGTAACACATTCGGGCAAAAACAAAAATATTCTGAAAAATCTCTAAAAGCTCTCACTGCTTTAGTAGCCGTGTCCGTCAACGTGTTAATTTTTATCGTTAAGACCAAATAAGTATTAATAACAATAATAATAATATATTGCAGCGTTACTTACGTCGATTTGAGATTGCGCCAGTTGTCACGTACATAATTCCAAGCCACTTCTTGCCCAGCCACTTTATTGGTCAAAGCGTAAAATACTTTGCTAATGTCTTGATTTCTAATAGAAGAATTGTTTTGCAGAGCATAACTGAGAAATCTGAAACAAGACATTTTTAACTCGTTTTTAAATAGTTTTCATGATCATACTTATGAACAAAACTATATTTATGATTATGATTTAAAGATTTTCATAAGCGTAACTATAGGGGGTCTGAAGAGGCTTAAATACCCAAAACTTGTAATAGTCCTCTCCCCCCCAAAAAAATTATCCAACTTTTTCCTAAAATATTAATAAATCTTAAAACCTTATATTTTAATTCAACAATTCTTCTTCTTCTTCTTCTTATTTTTTTTTTATATTATTTTATAATTTTATATTACCTACCTATATGCTAATAATTATATATGGTAAATATCATTAGATATGTGGTTATGTCTATACTTGTTTTCAAGGAAACAATTGTTATGTCGGTACATTGGTACAATTATTATGCATAATTTAACAGTTATTTATACAGTATGTACTATGTACTGTACTATATAATATATACAGAAAACGTATCATTATTGTGAAAAATAAATAATTGTTTTTTTGTATAATTTGTTTCATATTTTCAAATGCATAAATAACCCCTCCCCCCCCCTGGAGGTTACTTTTCATGTAATATCAGATGGAGGTCATAGCCCCCCTCGGCCCCCTACATAACATTTTAGCCCTAGTTATTCACCAGTGTAGATTTTCTCTGTGGAGGAAAAGTATCAAGCAGTGTTCTATGGTTATTTTTTTTTTTATATTCTGGATTTGCGTTTCTGTGGCAATAATCATCAAAGCGTTACTATAATATATAGACCTCGTGAAAATCGATTAGAAAAAATAAGTTGTACCAGGCTGGTACAGTGGTACTACCAAGTACCAGCCCAAAAACATTTATCCATGATAAAAGTGAACGATATCATTTAATATTAGTAATATTTTGAGAATTCATTACAGACAGCCGGGCAATGCTAATTCACGACGGTAGAATAATATAGATTACAAAATTATGTTGAGTTTTTT